GGAATGTTGTCTAGTCCTGCTGCTTTGCCGCTCTGGATTTGTCTGATGGCCATGCTGATCTTTTCAGTTGTTGGTGCGCCAACATCGATTGGGAGTTCTGTGGATGCTGCTTTGATGTTGGGTGTGTTCAGTGGAGCTGGCCGATTCAAGAGTTCCTGAAAGTGCTCTACCCACCTATTTCGCTGTTCTTCAGTGTTGCTGATTACTTTGCCTTCCTTACTTTTCACTGGTCGTTCTGGTTTACGATAGTTTCCGGCGAGCTTCTTTCTTGTTTCGTACAATTGTCTCGAGTTTCCGTCTCTTGCAGCCTTTTCCGCCGTCATTGCTAGATCTTCCACATATTTTCGTTTGTCAGCTCTGATGCTCTTCTTCACTTCCCTGTTTGCTTCTGTGTATGCAGCTTGTGCCTAAACTTTCTCTGCTCTTGCTTGACTGACGTTGATTCCTGCCTTCTTGTTCCTCCTTTCTTCAATTTTTGCACGAGTACTAACAGAGATCCAATCCTTGTGATGGTACTTCTTGTGACCCAGAATTTTGTGATATGTTGAAGTGATTGCCTCCTCGAACCCTTTCCAATTGTTCTCCAATGTTGCGTCCTCTCCATTGAGTAGATCTTGAAAGGCCTGGAACCTAGTGGTGAGGGCTATCCTGAATTCGTTGAGCTTTACAGTATCCCGAAGAAAGGCCGTGATGTTGTCTGCCCCGTTGTCCAGTGCTTCTTGAGTTTCAGTTTCATTTTGGCTACCAGCAAGTGGTGATCTGAGGCTATATCAGCTCCTCCCTTGGTTCTCACATCCTACATGGTCCTTCTCAAAGTTTTCTTGATACAGATATGGTCAATTCGGTTTTGAGTAGTGTGGTCTGGTGAAATGCATGCGGCTTTGTGTGTGCGTTTGTGCGGAAATATTGTGCCATCGATGACCAGTTTGTTGAAGGCACATAGGTTTGCAAATCTCTCACCGTTTTCGTTCCTTTCTCCCAGTCCATGTCGTCTCATGATGTTGTAGTGGAACGCTTCTACGAAGAAAATGCGAATTTTGAAATGTGAACATTACTGTACTCGCTGTGTTTAACTGTACTAAAAACACTTCTACTAATTCTTGCGCGCAACGTTCTCTTCGCGTTGCCACCAGGTTTCTCCATTTGCTGCTCCCTATGTCATGCCAACGTTCTCCTTCAATAAAACCATGGAGTATTAATTTATTTTTGTTCTACTTTTCGTCACGCGACCGTATGGTACATTTAGTGGTGGGCATAGTCAAGCTGGTTTCCGGACTCGCTCACTAAAATTGGTGAGACTGACGTTTCTTCAAAAGAAGTCAATTACGGTGAGTCTATTATTCACCTACCACCATTTTTATAATGTTGCAATACTATTAATAATGTCTTTAATATATATTATACTTGCAACAACCTTTCGAAATGGTAGATAGCTATAATAATAGACTCCGAGGTGCAGGTCATTGCATTTTCACCTGTCTCCTCACCGTCACTTCAGGTTGTTAGTTTATTTTACGTGCTCGAATTTTGCACTAACGCTAGGTACTTGGTGGCCACAAGTGCCCAAGTTTCTGTCGTATCGTTTGGTAGCAGTAAGTCATAAGCTACGATGCTTCGACCACGCACTGCGAATGGCTCTGTCATTCCTACCTACGGTACACGACAGCTAACTATCAACCTGGGTATCCGACGACAGTATCTATGGACGTTCATCCCTTCTGATGTTCCCATAGCCACACTCGGTATCGATCCATTACAGCACTATGAATTGCTATTCGATTCACGTAGGCTGAGTTAATCGATACTTCGTCGAATATCAAATCCATGGTTTTTAACGCGGAAACAGATATGTACCGAATCATTAATAATAATAATAATAATAATAATTTTATTCTCAAATAACTAAGTTACAAGAGTCACGCCAGTTTACAGGCTAGATCAAATTGTCACAAATGCTTTTACAATTACTGTAAAAGTTATAGCAGTTAAATTAAGTATAAGAGACAGTTTCTGATTGCATATTTACACCATATCACTGACAGAAACAGTATTATACAGCCACATTTTCAATATTACAGTACAAATGAGGAAGGTGCACAATAGGTTCTATTGGCGATTGGCCGAGATCAATAGTGAATTTGTTGGGAAAGGTCATATGGAACGCGCTTGATACGAGCTGTGATCCAGACAGTCATGTACATTGGGTGCATGTTCCCTAGAGTTGCCAAGGATTTCCCACCGTGAATGGGGTTCTGAAAAGGAGAAGAGAGAGAGGAAAAGGCAGCAGTGTGGCAAGTGTATATATATAACCAAAGCACTACTTAACCTGTCATGTTAAAGTAGTCAATACAGTAGTAAGTCAAGATAACATTTATATTGACCACTTAAATTAAAGTAAATTATGGGAATATAAGAATATAACGCATAGATAAAGGAGTACAGCAAAAAGAAGGGAGAGTTGTGCAGTGTCAGGTGGATAGAAGAGAAGTCGAAGTAAGAAGCTGGATTTATGTACTTTGAAATCGAAATTCTAGTTAAAAGAGTAGAGTTTGTAAAAATAAATATTTGACGAATAAAATCTCGTACTGTCTAACTGTTTTTTTTCTTTATTATTGAATGCCAACCTCCAAGTCATACTGTAAGCGCCTGAGTAAGAATGTTGCAGGTGTCTCGACAGAATAGCGACCTCAGCATAGTTTTGGAAACATGAACCACAGAAGTAGCAAGCGTATAAGAGCAACCTCAGTGTTACTGATTAGTCGTCTCATCAATCTAAAGAGCCGAAAGCAAACAAAATGTTCTGCCCCACAAACATGGGTTGTTTGAAGTTATCGCCCATACCATCAATGTTTGCTGGTCAGTAACTCCACCCTCCCTCCTTTTGTGTTGTTAGGCTCATGTTAAATGTTTAAAAGAAGCTATTGAGTTCTACTTGGTGTTCTATGTCTCGCATCCTGTTGAGAAACACTATTTCTGCAAGTTCCTTTCACAAACTTGTCTGGCTATTACAACTTATGAACTATTGGTTAGGCATCAATGCTATACAGTTAACAGTTATGGAGAAATAGTAAGAATTTTCAAACAAGATATAAGCATTTTGAATGTAGTGGGGAAGATGTACTTAACTAGCTAAGCAGGAGATATAAAGAGTATCGCGGTTAAAAGCGGAGCAATAGATAACACTAAGGGGCCAAGGTAAGTCAATAGCGTGTAAGTGAGAACAGTATAATTGATAATAGGCAATGTGAAACTCACACAGTTGTAAGTGTTGATAAGGTTACGCCCAGGAGAGTAGAGTGCATTCTAATCAACCAGTTTACAGTTGAACAGTGTCGAT